ACTGTGTTGTTTTTAACATCTTCCTTTAGGTCTGTTAATAGTTGCTTTATGAATCTTCGCGCTCCTGTGTTGGGTGCATAGATATTTATAAGCGTTATTTCTTCTTGATGAAGTGTCCCTTTGATCATTATATATTGTCCCTCTGTGTCTCTCTTGACCTGTCTTATTTTGAAATCCACTTGGTCTGATATGAGAATTGCAACACCTGCCTTTTTTTCCTTGCTATTTGCTTGAAGTATTGTCTCCACCCCTTCACCCTGAGTCTGTGTTTGTCCTTGGGGCTGAGGTGTGTTTCCTGGAGGCAACAAATTGTTGGATCTTGTTCTTTAATCCATTTTGCCACTCTGTGTCTTTTTATTGGAGAGTTCAATCCATTCACATTGAGAGTGATTATTGATGCATGTGGACTTAATGCTGTTAATCTGTCGCTCATTATCTTGTTTTCCTACGTTTCTTTTCCTGTGTGCTTTAGCCTACCCATTGACTACTGCAATTTCTTATGCTGGGTTTCTTAGATTTTTCCTTATTTATGATTTGTGACTCTGTTCTGTACTTTATTTTAGTGTCTACCTTGAAGTTTGGATTTAGAATCTCGTGTATAATATAGTCTATTCTCTGGTGGTCTCTTACCTACTTGACCAATACTGATTTAGACCCTTTGCTCTTCCCCTCCTAAATAATTATTTTCATTTTTTATTCCAACTCATCTTATTAATTTTTAGTTAGAGTGCTAAGATCGTCCTTGTTTTGGTAGTTTCCTTACCTTTACCCTAATGCTATAATTGAATATTTGCTATCCTGTTCTGGTTCTATCCGTTGGTCTCCCTAGTCTGGATTGTGTCCCCTTTCTCCCTTTTTTCTTTTTTCAAGTATGAGAGCCTTCTTGAGGATTTCTTGTAATGGAGGGCTTTTAGTTACAAATTCCCTTAACTTTTGTTTGTCTGCAAAAGATTTAATTTCTCCCTCATATCTGAAGGAAATTCTTGCTGGATAGAGTATTCTTGGCTGAAGGTTTTTATCCTTTAAAGCTTTGAATCTATCATTCCATTCTCTCCTAGCTTGTAGGGTTTCTGTAGAGAAATTTGCTGACAGTCTGATAGGGGCTCCTTTATAGGTTATTTTCTTTTTTTTCTTACTTCCCTGAGTATTCTCTCCTTATCATTCCTATTTGCCAACTTTACTACCATGTGCCTTGCAGTAGGTCTTTTTACATTGACAAATCTAGGAGATCTAAAACCCTCCTCTACGCACATTTCTCCGTCGATCCCTAGATTTGGGAAGTTCTCTTCAATAATTTCGTTAAGCACACTTTCTGCTCCATTTTCCTTTTCCATATTCTCGGGAATTCCTATGATCCTTATGTTCTTACTCCTCATTGAATCCATTATCTCTTGGAGATTTTCCTCATTTTTTTAAATTCTTAGTTCTCTTTCTTCCTCTGTCTGGCGCCATTCAGCCTGTCTGTCCTCGATTATGCTAATTTTCTCCTCTATGTTGTCTACACGGGCATTCAGGGAATCTGTATTCTGTTTTATCTGGTCCATTGTGTTTTTCATCTCAAGTAATTCTGTTTGATTCTTCTTTATGATTTCAATCTCTTTTGTGAAGTAACTCCAGAACTCTGCTTGTTTCTCTATTTTTCTCTCTACCTCATTGAGTTTTTTTATTATAGCTGCTCTGAATTCATTACCACTTAGTTTACCTAATTCCAAGTCCTCAGGACTTAATTCTGTGTTTTTATTGTTTTCCTTCTGGTCTGGGGCTTTTATAAATTGCTGGATGGTAGAGGAGCAGTTTTTTCTCATGGTGGTAGAATTCAGTTGCAGTTACAGCCTGTCGCCACTAGATGGGGGTCGAGAGTGGCGTGTTAGCTCTCTGCCTTGGGGCAAGATGGCTGCGCCCAATGGCTTTGCTGGGGGGGAGGGGCTGTTACATGCGCCGGTCTGGGTTCAGATCAGTTCTGTTCTCTGGTCTCCCAAGGCCCTTGATTTATAGGGTCCCCGCGGATGGAAGCTTTCCCCCCGTCAGTGGGTCTCCACTGAATCAGTGGCAGGAGTCCTGGATGATCCCCCGGTCGCGCGGCCCCTCCCCCGCTCCTTCCCGACCCGAGCCGCAGCGATCGCAGACTCTAGGGGAGGGAGCGATGTTCTCTCCTACCATTCCAGCGCCTCCAAGGGTGTAAGCAAGGTTATGATCTCCGCCTTCTTGGTATTGTAGGTCTCTAACGAGCTGGCATTATGTTTATTCTCTGAAATTCAGTTCTTCCAATCTTTTGTTGCATTTTGGAGGGGAGAGAATCCTGGGTCAGCTCCCCCTGCCATTTTGCTCCACCCCCTCTGAAGTTATTTTTAATAGCTACTGTAACCTAATAAAGTTTATTTATTTAAAAAAGGTTTTTTTGAGGAAGATTAGCCCTGAGCTAACATCTGCTGTCAATCCTCCTCTTTTTTTTTTTTTTCACTGAAGAAGACTGGCCCTGAGCTAACATCCGTGCCCATCTTCCTCCACACTATATGTGGGACACCTACCACAGCATGGCTTGCCAAGCAGAGCCATGTCCACACCCAGGATCCAAGCTGGCGAAACCCAGGCCACCAAAACAGAACGTGTGAACTTAACTGCTGTGCCACTGGGCTGGCCCCCTAAAGTTTTTTTAAAAATATGAGAGATTCAAAATTTTAAGTAATGTTGATGAAGGGAGATGGAGGTACTATGGACAATCAGACCTGCTGCTTCTGGGCAAATGTGACTCACCATGTCTGCGATAGGCAGTGCATGCTCCAACCATGTATGTAAACACCTATGTAATCTGTCTATGTAAACATCTTATGTAACCCGCATAATGTAAACATTGTCTTCTGGCTCTATGACACTTTTGTCTAGTAGTCGTATAAAAGTGGCCACAGGGGGAGCTGCTGCGTGCCCCCCACATCTGTTGGCCAGAGTGAGTAAAGAGTACGTCTGCCTTGCCATCAGCTGCTTGTGCCGGTTTACAGTTTCCTGAGCCCCATGGTCCTGTCCTTGGCTGTTTCTTTCCTACATACAGTTAATTATGAGCAATTTGATCATATTCAGTTTTGTTTACTCAGTCAACTCTTGATTAACACAGAATAAGGGTTAAAAAGAAGGTCCTGGAAACCACCCCCCCATCACTGTTTTTCAAAAAGAAAAGCTCTCATTGACCTGGGTGCAGATTAATAATGTTTGAATTACCTCAGGATTTGGGATACATTTCCATTTTCTGAAATAGGCTTGGTAATGAGGGTGTTGATTCCTTGGCCTGGAAGCAAGCAGGTGAAAGTAGGCTGCATGGTAACACTCTTGACTCAAGCCCCGCCTAACTACTGAGATTGAAGGCCTGCTGAACAAGGGTTAACTCTCAAAACAGTTAATCCATGACTAGAAAATCAAGACCTGAGTGTAAAGACATTAACAACTAATTCCTCCTTGTGTAAATTACAAAGCAGGGGAAGCAGAATAGCATAGTGGGTTGAGAACATGGACTTGGCATCAGATAGCCTGATATAGAATCCTTGCTCACCTACTTTCCACGCTACAGCTTCAGGCAGATCATGTAACTTCTCCGTGCCTCAGTTCGCTTGTCTGTGAAAATAAGAATAATATTTCCCTCACAGGGTTATTGTGAGGCTGAGATCATGTCAGTTAAATGAGTTAATACCTGTTACATGGTAAAAGCTTAACAAGTATTTCTCTATTCTGGTTTTTATTACTTTTAGATTTTTCATAGATAGTAAAGATATAAGGTTATTCAAACTAAAGTATCAAATGTCTTGCTTTCATCTGTTTGCAGAAGCTGAGAACTGAGGTAAAAGTCTCAAAGCTGATGAAATAAAAACCTAAGATAAAATCTTATGTTCCTTATGTCAATGGTTTAGATTACTCAACTGCAGAACTATGATTTAGATCAAATAGGTGAGTCATAGACAATTAACATTAGTCAGGAGTGGTTTGGCTATAAGAATGAGAAAACTCCGTTGGCTGGTTTGAATAAAAAGGGGTTTGGGGTAAGGACACAAGGAGGTGCGGGGCATACAGATGGTTTGTGTTAACTGGAAGTTGCCAGCAGCTCCCTCCTAGAGTCACAAGCTCTGTTGTCGCTGAATGTCTCTCCCCATTTGTTCTGTTCCTCCACTGCTGTATATTGAGACCAGCTTCCTACACATCCCCAGTGTGGCTCCCCAATGGTGACCTTTGCCTCTGAATGAATCTCTAGGACCTCGCAGTTCAAGCAGTTGTCTCCAAGTCCAGGAAACCAAATCTGATTGGCCTAGATGACTCAGGCGTCTGCCCCTGGTTTAACTGGGGATTTTTAAGGTAGGGTCATGTTGTTTACAATTGAGATCTTCTTTCCAGTTGAGGGTGAACAGTTTCTCTAGGTAGGAATATGCTTATGGAGGAAATGGTTAGCACCTCCAATGGGCCCTTAGAAATCGCTTAGCGTGATTCTCTCTTTTAGGATCTACCCTGTGAAGAAAGCAAGAACACAAACAAGTGTGACTAAAGCCTGTCAAGGAACTGCCTGGTGGCAGGGCTGGGAATAGAATCAGGCTTCTGGGGCCTCATTAGCTCCAGCTTTCTATTATTCCTTAATTCTCTTAAAGTTCAAAATAGCGTAAGGTCATAGGTAATGGCAAGTATATATTTATATGTCAAACATCAAATGGACAGAAAAATGTAGCTGCATGAAGTATATATAACTAAGGGGATGGAATAAATTGAGAATTTCAATGTTCTTGCCCTAAGCTGGTCAGTCCTCCCTAGGCATACGAAGACTCGCCCACCATTCTTGGCACAACCAGAGGTGCTTTTAAGATTGCTAGTTTTGTTGTAGAGCTGGTCTTGAAGAACACATTGTACCTTTGCTTTCAAAGCTGAAGGAATTTAAAACCCATCCACATAACCTTCAGGATTCTTTTGACAGAGCCCTAAGGTTTATGTTATTCATTATTTCAGAAGTGAAAGCCCCACTTCTAATCAAGATCTGTTCCACATTACACGTGGCAACAGAGGCAATGGAAAATATTTGGACCGTTGTGTCCTTGACCCAGGAAAGAAGATTTGAATCAATGTATGTTGAAAAAGTGTATGGAGCTTACAGGTAAGAAGCGTATGTTGTCACTAAGAACCTAGTGCTTCCCTGAGGCTGAATTATTGTCCCCAAAAGATAAAAACTCTGATGCTCCAAACAATGATAGGACTGTAAGGATGACATTTATAATTATCTCACTGAAAATAAGTAGCTTTTTGATGTGACTGGGCCACAAGCTTGGATTTTTGCATCTCTTGTAAAAGCTGAGAGGTGCAGAGGACTGCACAAGTGTTTGCCCACCAGTGTGGGCAACACAAACGACCCATCTGGGGGATTCAGGAGAAACATTCTGTTAGGGAATTGCTCAAACCTTTGTTTTCTTTGGAATGTGTAGACTGAACCTGAACATGAGACTTGTTATTTGGTTAAAGTATTCCTTTGTTCTCTGGGTGAGGATCAGATCCAACTTACTCTGCAAACAGACACATAGCCTGTTTCACTGGTTTTCACTTGAGTAATTCAAGAAACTCCTAGCGGCGCTATTTGCCACTTGTTTCCAACCATGGCCTGTGTTTATAAATGAATGTATTTTAACACTAACAAAATTGAACGCAACTTAGATTAAAAGTTTGTAGTCTAGAACAATAGTTTGAATACTTACAAATTTGGAAAGAGACAGTTGAAATCTCAATGTATTCCATCTCCTTAGTTATATATATACTTCATGCGGCTTCATTTTTCTGTCAGTTGGATGTTTGACATATAAATGTATATGTGCCATTACCTATGACCTTATGGTTTATTTTGAACTTTAAGAGAATTAGGAAGAATAGAAATCTGTAGCTAGTTTTTTATTTGATTATAAAGGTTCGACAGCAATGTAAATTGTTTAGTCCTAATAAGTATTATAACACCGTGCTAATGGCATATAAGTTAAACTATCCAAATCAGAAGTACTTTGAATTTTCCTTCATGGCAAATGTCGTCCTTCTAATCTGAGAGTAAATAAATTATTGGAGGATTTAAAATAAAATATAATAAAGTAGCTATGCGAACAAAGTATAGCATGAAATCTAATTAGAAATGATGCTGAGCAAATTGTATTGGGACTGGTGGGATCTAGTTCGGGGAAAAACTTCTGATGTGTGTCTGTGTAAACCTCAGTGACCGGACTTTTCTGAATCAAACAAGAATTTTGACATAAGAGACTATAACTAATAAAAGAACATAAGATAATATTAAAGAAATCAGATTCAGACAATTCGAACTTTAGTCCTAACTTTGACAGCCTCGATATTTTTGGCACGACAATCAAGTTTACATCACAGGAGTTGAATATTTGAGTCATCAGATAAATACTGTGTAATATCATTTGAGCAACCTCTAAGAGCTGGTACTATGCTAGATATTCATATTGTTTATTTAGTTCTCAAAACAGTCCTGCATCATACTGGCTGTCCCCAGCGTACAAATCAGAAAACTGATGCAGAGGGAGGTTAAGTTACTTACTCAAACTAATATAACTGGAGGCAGAATTTAAACCCAGGTTGACTAGACTTAGAAGCTGTGCTCTTTCCACAACACAGTGTTAAGAGAGGCTGAGGAGATGGTTATGAATATACTGATATGCTTTTCAGGAATTCTGTGTGGAAGGCACGCATCTATGGAACTACTTTTAGTATTTCATGAGCATTTATGTATTTTTCCTATGCTGGTTGTTTTTTATTTGGTGCCTATCTCATTATGAATGGACATATGCGTTTCAGAGATGTTATTCTGTAAGTAACTTCAAAGATATTAAGATTATTCTATAATATGGTTTCAATAGGTCTATGCAAAAGTTTGGAGTAGAAAAAACTGATTTGTTCTAAGATGAGGTCAAAGAGTTGAATCCACCACAGAAATCTTATCTTTTCAATATTTCAAGTACAAATTTAATCATCCACATGGACTAAAATTAACCAAGCTCATGAAAATGATCATAAACCAGAATTTTAGTAATACGTAGAATTCTAGCTAGTAGGACAGCAAATTTTGTCACTTGTAGAATGTAGGCAGAAATAAATCATAATTAGAAAGTTGCTGGTGGCCATGGGCTCAAAACAGAGGGTTAAATAGCTTATTATTTATCTGCAAACATAGATGGCCATGGGATGGGACAAGGGGATGGGAAAGCTTGAATGAAGTCTAGCAAAGGCTCTCTCCCCTAACCATTAGGCCTAGGATGACCCTGCCAACACGTGCCTCTTAGCCTCTCCTTTTTTCCATGATTTCCAAGGCTAACCAATGGACTTTCTAATTGATGCAATCCTTTTATCAAAATATGTTAAATATATTCAATTAGGATGCAGTCTAGTCTTGCCAAAAGGAAGCCATTCTTTTTAAGATGGCTTGGCATATTTCTGCTCTGATGGGATGATTTTAAAGCAATAGTGAACAAGCTTTTTTTGAATAGGGTCAAGAAAAGGAAAGAGAAGGTGTTTAAGAACTCTTCTTTTGTTTTCGTCCAATATTAAAATGACCATGAAAATAGTAAATGCAGTTTTTGTATCAGTCAGGATCCCAGCAGGAAACAAATGCCACTGTAAATGGGGTTTGCTAAAGGATCAATTTATAAAGGAGTGAGCAGTACCCAGGGGAGCTGTTAACATCTCAGCAGTTCCCAGCTAGGAACTAGGAAGACTCTGAGCCTAAGGGGAAAGCGGAGGGAAAGATTTTCAGAACGCCCTGTAGGGGTTTTCTGTGGCCTTTGATGGAGTGACACCAATAACACACTAATCCAACAAGAAAAAAGCCAATGAAACAAATACCTTGGCTTCACTCTCCTCCAGCCCTCCCATCCTCTGCTAGCGCCTTTGATTGCCAAACCCCATCAGCAGCCAGAGGAAAGGAAAACCTTTCCAGGCAGTCCATGAAGGTCAGCCTCTCAGGCATGGAGTACGATGGCACAAGATAGAGGCAGGTAGAGAGTAGAAAGTGGTTTTGGAGGGACAAATGGAAATATCCAGTTCTGGGAATTACAACTTAGAGTACTTCTGTTGTCTAGAAAAATATCACTGAGAAAACTCGCCCTGCTTTTTTTATTGTTTTGTTTTTACTATTGAAATGTTAAATTCTGGATAACTGGAAGATAGCTTTTTAATCTTTCGTGTTAAAGCTAGATTGCAGGCTGTACAGGAAAGCTAGGCAGCTACATGTGGGTTATTCGTCACTATTTTAAAATTTAAATTTTGGTAACTAACCTTATCAAGTATTTAAGGCAGAACTCTACTATACCCACCATTCCCGCCCCCATGTACTTAAAGCACATTTTAATATCTTAGATCTAGAAGTTTGGGAGATGAAAATTTTAAGTTCTCCATTATTATTAGGGATTTTCCTACCTTCCCCTTTCTCTGGGGCGCTCTGGTACTAGAAGTAAATAGCTTTGTGGAGATGTTGATCTCAGAATCTTTAACCCTTCCTAAAACTTGTAATCCATATCCATTCTTTAAAGAACATATAATTGGAAAATAGACCTTTAGCTTAGGACAATTGTTTTTTTAGGGTAGCGTCAATAGTTATTTTAATTGTAAGAGAAAAGCTATTTGTGGTAAAGGCTTATTTTCCCTAATAAAAATTCTTTAAGTATGGTGATTATTATTATGTTGGTGCAGGAGTGTAGAAGAAACCACAAACCAGAAGTCAGAGCCATGGATTCAGTAGGAAACCTCATTCCTTGTCTGGTACTGATCACACCCCTTAAGCGCTCGGTGCTTCAGTTCCCTCAACTCTGAAAAGGGCATAACTAGTTTCTAAAATTATTCAGATTCAGTTATAAGTCATTTCCTGAAAGAGAAGAACTTTAGAAAGTTACATTAACTCTAGGAAATTAGGGGCTCCTAAGGGAAGCCGGAAACAGGAGAGAAAAAGTCATCCCTCAGGTGGTGGATCCTGCCTCTCCTCTATATCTCCTTAGTTCCTAGAATTTCATGGAAATATGGGTGGGTGGTGGGAGGAGGATGACTAAGGGGGTAAAAAGGTCGATATTGGTAAGCAGTATGCCTTTACACTTTCAAACATCCTGGAGCTACTTATATAAGCTAATTTTTTTATTCCTCCGTGCAGGGTGTTTTCAGCAGTTGTGTTGGGCACAGTGGCTCTAGGACATGCTAGTTCCTTTGCTCCAGACTATGCTAAAGCCAAGCTGTCTTCAGCTTACTTATTCATGCTGTTTGAAAGACAACCTTTGATTGACAGCTATAGTGAAGAAGGCCTGAGCCCTGTGAGTTCTCTGCTGCTTGATGAGTGCTTGGTTAATTTGTTCCTAAAGGTTTGCTGTCTGCCAGACTGTAACTACAGGCTAAATTTATAGTGATTACACCAACATTTATTTAGCTTATTTTGTGATATTTACAGGGCTAATATTTGGCCAACTTTCCCGGTATTTTAAAATTTCATAGGGGCTTTTAAGGATTCTGAAGTTTAGCACATAAAAAGTAAAGAAAAAAAAATAGTCCAGATGTACTGGATCAGAATAATTTCTATGAAAATTGTTAGTTATTTCTCTATAAAGGTATATGCATATAGTTCTGTATGTAAATGCAATTAGTAATTTGACTCTAATCACATTTTGTAAAGACTGAGTTACAATTGGTAAGAAGCCCGCCTTAATCGCAGTAGGAGTGATAATCCTCCATGACCTCCATAGTTAACTCAGACTTAGATCTGAGTGTTCTTTGCATGACACAAGCTGCTGCACATTTTAATACACGAGAGGCAGTGTGGGTAAAGAGATGGAGACCTGCGCAATCTTTCTTGGATTTTACTAGGTATTTTGTGTTCTGAGAAAATTGCTGTGCACAGTGAGTGAGATAAAGAGGTTACTGTGCATTGAGATCATAGATAGAAACTGCTGTTAAATTCCCAGCCTTGGAGACTTTGGCCACTGGCTTGGCTCCAGCCTCAGAATCATCATTGGGAAAGCTAAATAGTTGTCTTAAATGAACTAGAAATCAAGTTTAGATAATTCTCTGTAATATGACTTTATCTATCTCCCATCTTCATGTTATATAAACAAGAATTTGCTATCAATATTAACTGGTGCCAGTACTGTACTGAATATGAATTTTATGGTTCTCCACTAGAGTCTTTGGTAAACTCTCCTTGAAATAACACTTTTCATTCCAATAATTATCAGACCAATCCTAATAGCAACATTAAAAGAAGTTTTTCTTTAGGATAAATTTGAAGGAAAGGTGACCTTTAATGAAGTCATGTTCAACTATCCCGCCTGGTCCAATGCGCCAGCGCTTCAGGGGCTGAGCATTGAGGTGAAGAAGGGCCAGACGCTCGCCCTCATGGGCAGCAGCGGCTGTGGGAAGAGCACAGTGGTCCAGCTCCTTGAGTGGTTCTACGACCCCATGGCTGGAACAGTGGTGAGCACACTTTCTTAAATTAGTAATCTGATTTGAGGCTGTATTTTAAGTGGCTAAACTAATATTTCCGTAATGGAAAAAATTGGACAAGTAAAGACCTATAATCCTGTTTGATACAATGACCACATGCTATAAACCCCAAACGGGCAGCCATAGTCAGACAAATATATGAGGACAATAGGGTAGAAGATCTGGAATTTAGTGTAATTCAGAAAATACTGAATATGAAGTTGACCTCTACCCAGCCATGAGCCTTTTGAGCCAGACTAATCCTCTTAAGTAAACACTCACTTCCTGATTTGTAAAGGTAAGCTGCAAACTTCTGCCAGAACTCTGAGTAGACTCCCAGGAGAGGCTAGTGCCTGCTTATTCCTGCCCCACCTCTGCTTTGCCTTATCTCTCTAATCCTGGACTCTAGACTGTCTGACTTTGACTTTGACCTTGCCTACAGCCCTTTTCATATTTGACTTTTGTCATTGACTTTCTGATATCTAGCCCCTTGCTCTCCTCCATGAGGGGAGCCTTAGCTCTTACTGATAATGCCAGCATCTCCCATTAGCTTGGGATGGCACCCGCTGACCTAGCCCTTGGGAGCCCACTCCCATATGGACAGTCAGCACAGCATTACACCTTGTTTATTTGTTTCTTTTTGGGAAATCTTATGCTTCCACTATTACAATTACTCTGCAGGTATGAATACAGGCAAACCAGCTTAACAACCATCTGTAGGTATGCTGTGCTAACACCATGGTGGGAATTTATTTATTTATTGAGACGTCAAGACTACTTGGACTTGTCTCTGTTCCTTCGCCTGTGACCTTTACCTTGCAGGAAGCTGCATTCTTAGTTACTTAATCCTCTAGAAGCATCATGCCTCCTGCTTATAGCAAATAAAAAATAATCAAAACCGCCAACAACAAAACCATTCTCCCAAACACACTGCCCTTTGAGCTTGTTCATTTTCCATTGAACTCGTGTCCTTAGTGCTGTGAAAAAGAGAAATGGGAGAAGTGGAAGGCTGGTCATTCTCAGGGGAAAGAGAGGTAGAGGTAGGACAGGAGGTAACCAACTTGCAGATCTGGGGCATGCTACTGCTCTGCTGTTTTTTCTGGTATTCCTGGAGGAGGGGGGAATAAAGTCAAGTCGAATGATTGGAATCGTTCAGGGGACAGCAGATATGAGTAGGACACCTAATGGCAGACCTCTTTACAGCAGAGGATGATGGTACACTTGCCTGGTGGGGAGCAGATAAGAACAAAGAGAGGATTGTGGAAAGACAGGGCCAAACATGCTACCATTTTGCCAGTTAGACCAAAATAGGGATGGCCTAATCACCTCTGAAATCATTTTGTTGGCTCTCTTGGCTTCCAACTCTCTAAGTTCTGTGAGGCTCAGTATTTCACAAACTGCTGATGCCTACATGCAACAATCCTCCGAGTGGTTAATCTGGTAACTTACTGTTTAGTTATTTTTTTTCTTTTTAAGCCCTTCTTATAGTTTGTGGACTTTGATTTTCAGCTCCTAGATGGTCAAGAAGCAAAGAAATTCAATGTCCAGTGGCTCAGAGCCCGGCTTGGAATTGTGTCCCAGGAGCCCATCCTGTTTGACTACAGCATTGCTGAGAATATTGCTTAGGGAGGCAACAGCTGGGTTGTATCACAGGACGAAATTGTGAGTGCAGCCAAAGCAGCCAACGTATGTCCTTTCATTGAGACCTTACCCCACGTAAGTTAAGTGGTAACTTCCTAAGATGAAATCAGAATCAACTACAGTTTTCCTTCTCAGAGCAGTTCCCAAAGTTATACTCCAACAAAGTCTTGTAGCAGAATTTGTCTATTTACTATCACTGTGACCTTGGGCAAGACACTGAACTTCATTACCGAGTTTCCTTATTGGTAAATGGGAATATTAGTTGTCATGTCTACCTCATACAAATGTAGTAAGAAGCAAATGAGGTGATATTAAGTCAAAGCACTGTATCTCAGGTGGCAAACTGGTGACTGTGGGCTGCATTCAGACTGCAGTCATATTTGGTTTATCCCTTATGGTACTTTCTTTAAGTATTTTGAGACACTTATAGGTTCAAATGCAGTTGTAAGGAATGCAGAGATCTTATATACCCGTTTACCTAGGTTCCTTCAATGACATCTTGCAAAACCATAATATAATATCACAACCATGATATTGACCTTGATACAGTGCACTGATCTTATTCAGACTTCCCCACTCTTGTATGCATTTATATGTGTGTATTTAGTTCTACGCAATTTTATTGCATGTGTAGACTCACGTAGCCACTACCAAAGATACAGATCATTTCCGTCACCACAAAAATCCCTTATGTTGCTCCTTTATAACCACACACCCCTCCTTCCCGCCCCCATGCCCCCCAACCTCTGACAACCACAGACTGTTCTCCATTTCTGTAATTTTCTACTTTAAGAATGTTATATAAACATACATACACTATACAACCTTTTGAGATTAGCTTTTTCACTCAGCATAATTCCCTGAAGTTGCGTGTATCTAGAGTTCATTCCTTTTTATTGCTGAGTAGTATTCCACGGTATGGCTGTACCGCAGTTTAACCATTCATTGGATGAAGCCTATCTAGGTTGTTTCTAGTTTTTGGCTATTAAGAATAAAGCTGGTATAAATATTTTTCAGTACAGGTTTTAGTGTGAATCTAATTTTGTTTCTCTGGCATAAACACCCAGGAGTGCAATTGCTGAGCCATATGGTAACTGCATGTCTAATTTTACAAGAAACTGCAAAACTGTTTTCCAGAGTGGTTGTGCCATTTTACATTCCCACTAGCAAGCATGAGAGATAGTTTTTCTGAATCTTTGTCAGAATTTGCTGTTGTCACTATTTTTTCCATTCTGATAGGTGTGTAGTGGTATCTCATTGTGGTTTAATTTGCATTTCCTAATGGCAAATGAGGTTGAATATCTTTTTATTTATTTATTTGCCATCTATAGCTCCTCTTTGATGAAATGTCTCTTCATTTTGCCCCTTTTCTAATTGGATTTTATTTTTTTAACTGTTGAGTATTGACAGACTTTTATATATTCTAGCTATTAGTCCTTTGTCAAATATGTAGTTTGCAAATATTTCCTCCCAGTCAGCAGTATTGACAGACTTTTACATATTCTAGTTATTAGTCCTTTGTCAGATATGTAGCTTGCAAACATTTCCTTTTCCATTCTTTTAACAAGGTCTTTCACAGAGCTAAAGAATTTTGATGAGGTCCAATTCATCAATTTTCCTTCTACAGATTGTGCTTTTGGTGTCAAGTCTAAGAACTCTTTATCTAGCCCTAGATCCTGAAGATTTTTTACATTTTACTTTTAAGTCCATGCTCCATTTTTAGATAATTTTGGCATAAGGTTTTCTTTAATGTTTCATTTTATTCCTTTGGAGAGAACATGTACTCTCCAGTTTCCATGGTCCCCAACACTCCCTATTACCTCATTATAGCTGCTCTGACTGTAGCCAAGTGCAGCGAAGTCAATATGGATTTGAAAAATATCCAAGGTAGAGTTCAATGAAAACAGTTTTCTCCAGTGACTGGTAAACATGAGTAGTCCCGAAAAGATGACTTGAGATCCCTAAAACTGACGGCAGGGATCATTCATCTTGTGGCACTCATCTAACTTCTGAGGTGCTACTGGATTAAAGTGAGTAGAGCCTCATTATCTTTACGGTTATATTCTGCTATAATTAGAAATCACACTCACTCACAAATAAAACTTAAAACCCTCATGTTAGCCTTACCACCCCTTAACACATAAGTCATTGACTGCAAACAAATATTGGATTTGACTGTGAGTAAAAAAAACTGTAAAGCTTCAGCTTTTAACTTACATTGGACTTGAGGATATTAATTCACATGATGTACGTTGAATTCAGTTCACTGCAAACTGAACCAAATTAATTTATACCTTTATTCATTCTATCCTTTTCCGGCTTAGAGTGTTCTCTCAATGTCCAGTTTCCCAACTTCTCTACAAAGGTATCCTTCCTTCATTTATTTCCCCTACTTCTCCTCTCCCCTCTTATCACCACAATTTCTATTTCCCTCTTGTGATCTTTCACAGCATGTTATGTTTACTACTCATTTGGTACTTACTTGACCTTTATTGAGTGCTGTATATTTTTCTCTTTAGATTATAAATTCCTTCAGGGTAGGAACGAAGCTGAATTTATTTTTATACTTCTCACACTTCTTGGCATAACAGGTACTCAGTAAATATTTAAGTGAATGAATGAGTTTAAAAGAGAATAAACTAGGCTCCATGTAGGTCATATGAATATTTCAAATTAAAAATTTTTTAAAACCTTGAAAACATTAACATTTAACCTTTTTAGGACTCCAATGACAGCAGATCAACTGATAGTATGATAATGGTAGGAATTTGAGAATTTGTTGTAAAATACCATTCAGAAGTAAAGGCACTAGTTTTCCAGTTGGATTTTGAAAATGAACATTCTGTTAAATGCAAATAACATTATAACATTAAATGGACAACTACCTAGTTGTTATGGAAGCTTTGTTGATTCTAAATGTTTTTTTCCTTATAAGCAGAACTGTCAAATGTTTAGAAATAAAAGTTTATCAACATACCATCAATAATCTTTCTGGGTTAGAATTTTATTAACTTTATTAGTGGCTACCTCGCAGAAATATGAAACAAGAGTGGGAGATAAAGGGACTCAGCTCTGAGGAGGTCAAAAACAGAGGATTGCTATTGCCCGAGCCCTCATCAGACAACCTCAGATCCTCCTGTTGAATGAAGCTACATCAGCTCTGGATACTGAAAGTGAAAAGGTGTGGCCTCCGAACTCATGTCCCATTTAATCTGTAAAACAGCAGTCTTTTGTGCTGGCAACCATGAAAAAAATGATGTCAACACAGGAAAAAAAGGTAAACAGAAATTTAGACAGTGGTTATTTTGAGGTAGAATATTTTATTTTGTTCCTTTCACTATTTTCTGAATTTTCTAAAATGACCACATATTACCTTTATAAACACAAAAAAAGTAAAGCATTCAAAAGAAAAAAAGCTGTATAAGTCACATTTTCAGCACAATAATGGAAAAGCTGGAAAATGATAACAGGGAAGTAGTTAAGTAAAATATCATATTGTGACTAGTTAGAAAACAAATAATTGTAAGGATTATTTATAGTGTGAGAATCCATTTTTATTACGATTAAAAAGATAACTATAGGTAATAGCGATTATGTAAATACATGCATAAAGCCAAAGCTTCAAAGAGATGAGAAAAGAAATAAAAGGTAAATTTTTTTGCTTAGATAGTAAAATTTTTAAATTTCCTTTAATGTTAAAACTCATTTATACAATTTTTAAGATAAGGCTTCTGTTCTGATTTATCATTAGATAGTCCAAGAAGCCCTAAACAAAGCCAGAGAGGACCGCACCTGCATCGTGGTCACTCACCGTCTGTCCACCATCCAGAACGCACACTTAGTAGTGTTTCAGAATGGCAGAGTCAAGGAGCATGGCACACACCAACAGCTGCTAGCACAAAAAGGCATCTATTTTTCTATGGTCAGTGTCCAGCTGGGGTCACAGAACTTTTGAACTCTTGTTGTAGTATATTCCAAAAATAAATTCAAATCATTCTACAGCTTTTTCTGCCTTATAAAAGAAGTTTATAAGTCATCATAAATATAGGTATATATTATTCCAGATCAATTTAGAACATCCAATATGTTCTAAATCCAATATGTTTCATATGACAGCATTTGAAATTTAGGAGTTACAAGTGACACCTGTCTTGATGAAGAATGAAAATAACCTAGCTCTTCCTGAGTTATCAGAAACATACAGAAGAGAAGAAGAAAGTTCAGGTATTTAAGCAGTAGAATTAATAGAAGTCACAGACATAAGGAAAGTTCTTATGGTCCTGAATAGTTGTGTAGATAACAGGATGGTTTGGGAACAATTTTCCCAAGAACAAAGGAAAAATAAATTGTTCAAAAGTCTGCTCTTTCCCTTAGTAAGTTTCCAAATTTATTCTATTGGAGAAGTGAAGTATTTTAAAATGAATATATTCCCAGCTTTAACATCAAAGTCCAAGAGTAAATGCAATTGTCCTTAGATAAGCTATGAAGGCACACATCTGTTCCATAAGGCAAGAAAGCAGCACACCATCAAGTATTACTTTTAAAAAATGTTTAAAATTTCTTAGTAAAAGTTGCACATATTATCTTAGTGCAACTTGAAATACTGGAAATATCAATAATAAAATGCTGAGTTTCTATAACAACTGTATTTTTACTGGTAATTCTAATTTTCCCAGGTATTAATCCACTTCTCCTACAAGAGGGAAGTATGTTTAGACAGAGAACAAAAAAGTATTCCAGGCAACCTTTGGAAGTTAACCACACTGAAATGTTTTTTCTATAATTTTCCATTTGTTTTCTCCATAATCTACTGCAGCAATATAAATTGTCATTGCTGTGACAGGTTGTTTAGGTAGTAAACTATCCATAACAACTTCTTCTATCTGTAATAAACCAGACATTACTAGAGAATTTTTCAAATGTGACCGTGTGTATCAGTGGACTGAATTCCAGATTAACCAAAAGAAGAGTAGGGCAAGGGGTACATTACCACGGTGACTCAAAGTGAACAGAATTCAACCTACTCTTGTTTAATTATTCCAAAAGCTGCCTGATAAGGACCATGGGACTTCTGCCTCTGGAAATTCTGACTCAGTTCCTCTGGGTTGAGGGCCAGGAATATCTTTGTAAAAAGCATTCCGGGTGATTTTTAACTTCAGGTAGGTTAGGGAAACGTGTTGAAGCATGAATGAGAAGAGATTTCTCTGCAGAAGGTGATCAGCTTTTAAAATATCCAAGTCTTTAGACATTATTTAAGAACAACCAACCAAATAATTCTAAAGGCCCTGCTTATCTAGTCTACAAAATAGTACAAGTGAGGAAAAAGGTCCATAGTTCAGATTTCATCTTCCTATTAGGATATATCAAATGCCATACTCCGAATGTTTTCACAAAGAAATAATGATAAATAAATCAGTCTTATCAAATTCAGAACATGATCATGTAAAGAAAAAAGGGACGTATACAACCAGTACACTAAATGTACTATAATCTTTATGTGGTAGATTGCTACAAAAATGGCCCCAATAAGTCATGCCCTCTTGTACCCACTCATTTACATTTACAAAATGACTCTACTGTTCCTCTTATCAAAAGATGAGACTTTCCCCCTTCTCCTTGAATCTGGACTGTTCTCATAACTTGTTTTAACCAATAAAAGGCAAAAGAAGTGACATCATGTGACTTCAGAGGCTAGGCCTCAAGAGACCTTGCAACTGCCACCTTTCCCTCTTGGAACATTCCTACTGCCAAGTATGAAAGTCCAAGCTAGAAAACTGAATGATCAAAGACCACATGGAGAGAGAGTCCCAGCCACCAAGTCCTCAGACAGTGGGTGAGGCCATCTTAGACTTTCCAGCCTCAGTCTGGTGACTGCAGCTGCATAAAATAACTCAGGCAAGACCAGCAGAAGAACCATCCGGCTGGGCACAATCAACTGACACAATCACAGGAAGTTATAAATTGTCGTAAGATGGTAAGTTTTGGGCGGTTTACTACACAACAATACATAACTCAGATCAGCAAGTATAAGATCAAACTGGAAGGAATCACTTATTCAAACACAAAACAAGAAGCTATATGATTGAGAGTTTTATTTTCCAGAGAAAGAAACTACAAAATTGAACAAAAAGGAGAAAAAAATTGTAAAATCCTGAGAATCTGATTCAACATTTAATCCTTTTAAAGTCATAACTCAACTAATTTTAAATGTAAGTGCTCTAATTTTATATTCACAAAACTAATTATAACAACATACTGTAATGAATTTTATTAGGTTGTGTGTGTGTGTCAGAGGATGTAAACCTCCTTCCTACAATCTAATTCTTCTGTCTGGCCAACAGAAACCATTTTTTAAAGATCATCATTAAATTGTAGTGGTCTTTCCCATCAAACATAGTAGGCTTGTATCCCTGTGGTGAATGTGGAAGGCACTGATTTCAGGGAAATTAGTGTCCAGTCATGTATTTCATACCCTTTGGCAACTAGAAAATGTTAAAGTGCTTGGAAGATAAGACTCTACAATGATGTTCAGAGAGAGGATTTATAACCTGTTCAGATACCAACAAAAATATTTAAAAGTTAGAGCAAGACTTGCATTATTAAAATTTGTAGATTTGCATTGTTGAGGCTTATCTTAAATATTGCATAGTTCTATATTCACTATATCATAATTTGCATTGCTGCAGCATCAGAGGAAGCTTAAAAATATTTCTACTTTCTACGTCAGAATAAATTTAGAGAGCGTGACTCTACTAATTTCTTCATTTAACAAGTTTCCTTTAAGTCAACATTTCTTCGTATCTCACAGTACCAACCCACTCCCAGCACCCAGTTTAATAATATATTTTGGTAAGTGCTTAATAAATGATTAATCTCTAAAGATGAGCGGTGTTCATCAGCTGAATCATATCATGGAAAGCATGAAAAATCTGCTCAATTAGCTTTTCTGCATCAGTCTCTGGACATGATTTCCAAGCTGTGCAGGCCACAACAAACCTGTGAAGCACAAATAATAAATGATTAAATACTACGCAAAAATCCTAACACAAAAAAGCTCCAAACGATAATGGTGAATACAGCTATGACCTTTATTCCATCGGGTTATTCATATATGAAATATGAATTCTTGCTGACATTAGGTAAATGTAACCTGACACAACTGAAGATAAAGCCATATTTATACATAATACTAAGAACACCTCATTTACTATATGTCTAGTGACTAAGGATAAAAGGGAACAAAAAATTAGCCAGAGCTCAAGAGTGCTCTGGAGTAAGGTCTTTATTACGTTAAAAAAACAAACCCACCTCTTCCTAAAAATGATGTTCCTGATGTGCCCTAAGTGGAGTGAGTTGGAATATGGATTCATGCAACTGTGTGCAATGAAACTGGAACTATTTTTAAAGAAGAATATAACATTTGAAGAGAGTAATAAATAAATAAATAAATAAAAGGGAAAGAAGGATAAGAGAAAAGTTGTTTCTAGAAAAGCCAGAGAGAAATTCTGTTGGGACCAAGTCATGTCTCCATCATCTCCTTCTAGAATCTCTTGATGAAGAAATCCCCTATCTAACAAGCGATAAAAGTGGCCCCGGGAAGCAGAGCAAAATAGGAAAGAAGAGAGAAAAGGGGAGAAGCCTGGCTTCTGGTGGGCTCAGAGCAGAAAGTGGGACACTCTTGGAATCAGCCTTCCCCTCTCCAGACACTCACATTTTCTATGGCAAAACATGCATTAAACTCAAAATCAGAATGTTGTGCAATGTAAAGCTTGTGGACAACCATGCAATTTTCACATCACTAAAAAAGACAGTAAATTAAAACTTCAACGTGTACTTTAAGCAGAATGAAATGAAAACATGCTCTGGATCAGTATATAACGATGACACTAATGTTTGAGTGGATTATATTTACTAAAAGATATACAGGAACCTACAGGAAGTCTTGGCTTGTTTTCTCCTAGCGATTCATTATCACTAGTCATTTTCCACCTACACTGTTCATATAATTCTCAAATATTCAGTGAGATATATTTACTCTAAATGTATTTCTTTGCAAAAATGAACGATTCTTATTCAAGTATTAAAAATTTTTAAAATTCACTTACCTTTCTAAATTATAAAAAGAAATAACCTCTCCTACATGTACAATTCATAAAAGAATCTACACAGATGCCAATAAACAAAGAAAAAAATGTTTTCCTTTATAAGGAATTCAAATATGTTATTTTTGCCTATAAAATTAGTAAAGAATATTTTATAATGCCTAGAGTTGGAAATGATGTGATAAAATGAGGAAGGATATATTATAATATTGCACATTATTTGTAATGATGAAAAACTGGAAATAGTAGGAAAGTAGTTAGATAAGTTATGGAAACCTCTAAGACTAGACATTCTTCAACTATTAAAATATCTCAAAGCATATTTGATGGCATCGGGAATTACTTGAAATAATATTAAGTCAGACAGAAATTCACAAAAAGTCAGACAATTTTCTAGTTTAACAATGAATGAAAAAATCCCTTCCAGATAATTTCCATGTATTTTATTTGAAAACTGTTTTGGGTGTATTCACAGTAATGACGCATAAATGGACACCTCTAGCCCTGAGCTCTTTTCTGAGCTCAATACTCATATATTCAACTGCCTACTGACATATCCTCTTGTATATAAATATAAACATCATAAATTCTTGTATTAGCAGAAATCTCCAAGTCAATATGTACAAAACAAAATTCTTGATTCTACCCTTACATGCCCTCAAACCTACTTCTCCCCTAATTTTCACTGCCACCATCAAAATTAGCAATCCATCAATCAGTAAGTCCTAGTGGTTTCTACCTCCAAAATATATCTCAAATCCCTCCACTTTTCTTCACCTTAATTATCAACTGCTTTGTTAAACTTATCATCCTTGCTTCCTGACTGACTTCCCTCTCATTCTTACCCATATTACTGTCCACCTAATTTATATTCCATATAACAGCCAATAGCTCTCTTTACATGTTAATAAAACATGTAACTTTCATGCTTAAACCTAGTAAAATGCTTCCCATTATTCTTAGGAGAAAATCCAAATTCTTTACCATGTTACAAGGCCCTACATCAACTGAACACCCCAAACAACTCTGTGATTCCAAGGCGTATTATTTTTAAAGCTCTCCAGGTGATTATAATGTGCACTCGGGGTTGAGAACATCAAGATTTAGCTCCTGTCTACCCCTCTTCAACCCCTTCTTCTACCACCCTCCCACTCAATTGCTAATTTATAGCCATACTTCCTCTTTCCATTCTTTGTAAATGCCAGGCTCTTTCCTATACCTTGACCTGTATACTAATATTCAACAACAAAGTTGTTGTAAAAACATTCACTGAGTGCAACATATTTACAAGGCATTGTTAACAGAGCTGGGGATACCAGAAACAAATCAAAGACCCTGTTCTTGTGGGCTTATATTCTAGGAAGGGAAGACAGATAACATACAAATAAACGTATATACATATTGGGTAGTTAGAAGTGTTATAAAGAAAGTGTAGCAGGTGTGTGCCGAAAAGGGGGAGAAGTGCTATTTTAGATGGTCAAAGAAGGCCTCTCAGATAAGAGCAGATTTTTAACAAATATCTGTATGAAGTTAAGGGAGTGATCCTTGCATATATTTCAAGGAAGAAGGTACTAGGCAGAGGAATCATAACTGTGAATGCCATGAGGAGGGAGCTTGCTTAGTATGTTCAAGGTACAAGAAGGCCAGTGTGACTGGACTAGAGTGAAACAGTAGGAGAGCTGTAGAAGACAAGGTCAGAGACGTAACTGAGAGCTAGGTCATGTAGGGTCTCACAGGAGGACCCTGGATTTTACTGTGAGGGAAATGAGAAGCCCTTGGAGGATTTTGAGTACAAGAATGATATGACTTGAGTTACATTTTTAAAAGTACTATCAGGGGCTGCCGTGTAGAGGATGGTCTGTAGGGGAGGAAAGGTGGAAGCAAGATGACTACATAGGAACCCGTTGCAATAACCTAAGTGGGAGAAGACGACAGCTTAGCTTGGGTGGTAGCATTGGGGATAGTAAGCAGTGATCAGATTCTGGAAAGCTGTTTTCTTGGCATTCATATGATTAATTCCTTCTCATCCTTAACATCTCAGCTTAGTTGTCACTCCTCGGAGACCTTCCCTGACCACACTATATAAAGCAGTGCTCCATCTTCCTGCCAACTGTCTCTATTACCACATCAACTTGCTTATTTCCTCCATAGCATTCATCACGATTTGACGTTATCTTGCTTATTTGTTGGCTTTTGTCTCTCTTTCCAAAGTAGAAAAGAAAATCTATAAGATGGGGGATCTTGTCTGTCTTGTGTCCTTAGCACCTATAACAATACCTGGCACACTACACGTTCTCACTAAATATTTTCTGAATGAATGAATGGAAGCTCTGTCCCAGGATCATTAAAGACATATTTTTCTAAAGTCAGAGAGCCGAGGTATATCTGGCTTGAACTCTTATCACTGCATGCAACAGAGGATCCACTACTTGTCAGGGAATATGTTAGAATGCTTACTTATTCTCTGTGTCTGGTGACCTCTGACATTTTATTATGAAAAAGGATAAGATCTATGTTTAACTTTTGTCATTCAACCTTTAATTTGCACATTAATGTACACAAACTGAATACTATGGGAATACATAACATAAGGACTCAGATGCCAAGAAATACAAGCACCACTGATATAACAGACCATGCACAAATCACACCTGACATGGGGGCAGATGATAAAGTTTAAAAAAAATAAAATGGCTGTAAACTCTTTAAAGAAGAAAAAGCATAAAAACAATATCTTAGAAACTGAAATATGCCGTATATATTATCATTCGAATTTTTCCCATTCCATGTGAAGTGCCTCCAATCCTGCTCTCTTCTTGTTCACATAGTGCTAAATGTGGCGACACCATTTTGTTATAAAGCCTCCCATGCTTTGAAAGACCCCAATAAAGAGACTTCCAGACTATGTGAATGAGGACCTTCCAAGCCTTTCTATCAATTCCACATCACCTTGTTCTCCACCTCTCTTTTTCCTACCAGGTTTTAACATTTTCTTTCTCATTCTTTCCACAAACATAAGTCAAACCTCATACAACTGAAATGAAATGCATCTGAATTGGTAAAACATTCTTTTTTTGAATATAAATTAATTTATTTAGTCTCTTATCTTACTCTTATTAGTACTGTCTATGACTGTGTGAACCACCACATATTTACAAGGCAGTGAAATTTTATCTGAACCTACCATAAAATACTTCGGATGGAACAAATATGTTAATATGTGCACTGATTTTTGAGGATGATGACATGATCACTGAGTCAACCTTAAACAGTGTTCTGCACAAAATGGCTAAAGGACTAAGATGACAAGTGTCTCGAAAGCAGGACAGAGAAACATAAATATACATCAAATGCCTAAGTGGTAAAAATAATTACCTATGCAGCAAGTGACATCACAACACAGAATCATAGTGTAGGAAAGACAATCAAACAACAAATGCTAGCTTTCTTACTCTATAGCACAGTAAGAAGAATAGGAGCAGCCTCACCTGTTGTCTCTGATGTGGTAGAAAAATCCATAGCCATTGTGCACCATGGGAGCCACCACTCCCTGGATTCTGAAGTAACCAATCAGGCTTGTTGAGAGGACAAAGTTTCCACCTCCTCCACTGTGTGGCATAAAGAAAGAATATTTTACTAGGCTTGCAGAAGCTTCTATTGCTTCTGAAGAACTTTTAACATTCAGTAAAAAAACAAACTGCTTGATGAAGTTATAAAACACTCCACTATATCACCTTTTGGAGAAAAGTGGGTCCGTAAAGAGTTCTGGAATTGGGAGACCTTCCTCTTTTGCTATGAGTGAAAGACCTAAAAGATGACGGTCAAATCCTGCAATGAAACCCCACATCTCAAGTCAGAAAAAATTTTTCAACGTAAGAGGTTTTTTAAAAAAAGTTAGAATAATTCTAATATAAGTACCTTTTCCAGTTGAACAATCTTTCATCATTTTATTATGCTTTGCAAAAGCCTGTAACATCTTTTGCTGCCGCTCAAGGAGCTATGTTAAAAATCAAGAGACACTTCAATAACAAACTGCACAGAAAGCAAACAAAAGACCCCTGAGCTCAGTGTAATTAGGAGTTGGGTGATTTGGGAGAGAAAAAGAAGATTTCTAAGACCTTGAGACACACGCTTCTGTGTCTTTCCCTTACTTCTAGTATTGTGTTTTCCTTCCTATATGTCCTGCATCTTGATTATTTCTTTCTCAGAATAGGAAAATAGGAAGTTCCAGCACTGAAGCGACATTAACAAGTATAAAGACAGCAGCAACTAGAATTTCAAAACTAAAGCATAGTTGTACAAAAATGATAATGAAGCCGTTCCTTGAAATTAAAACAAATTAACAGATACATATGATAGACAGAACTATGTCTATCAAAACTAAAGGAGCCCATGCAATACCAAAATAGCAGGGGGAAGGAACTACCCTGTTGTCTAAATGCTTCAAAAAAAAAGTATAAAACAAAACTTATAAAACTAGTCTGGTTCTAATATATGAAAACAAAAATATGTGATTTCAAAAACATTCAAACACATCAAGAACAGCTTCCTGTTAAAGGTGCTTTGGGAGTCTGCATTTTACTGGTGTTCTTCTAAAAGCAGATCAATACTAGTGAAATACTCAAGGTACTGAGGATATTTTGCCTAGGAAATGACACAAATGGGCTTCTTCCCAGGTCTTCCTTGTTTCTTATTCTTTCCAGATATATATCTCACTGGCAACTGAACAAATCTTTGGAAAACTTCAGGAAAAAATGTCTGAAAGTATTTTACTCATCCAGGGGAATTGAGGTAAAGAAGTTACTGATTCAAGGGCCAAGGTTCCTGTAGAACAAATTCTGTGAATCTTTCCATTTCAAATACTCACACTGGCATAAGGATTCTGCATGGACTGGCACCACCTGACTGCTTCTACTGTACAAGATCGCACAGTCTCTGTACGGCCATGATAAAAATATCTTGTCATAGCTGTTTCATAGCAGCAACCAGGGCTACAAGAAAAAATGAAAGTAAGAGAATGTATTACAAGAAAGAAAATGCTCTAATGTTATTACAAAGAAGAGTTTCCCTAATAAAACTGCTTAGTGGCTTTGGTCAGACACTAAGTTCTACAATATAGAAAACAGTTGAGACTTTCAAGAACAAAGAGGCTATTTTCAATATCAAAGAGCAAAAAGTACTCTGGTACAGAGGGTCTCATATAATATGGAACGTTTCAAAGGCTTGGCTGCTGTCAGGTTATATGCAGAGGAGTCTGTGGTAGGTGGCCTCTAAGATGCCCTCCAGTAATCCCTGCCTCCTGCCATTTATGCCTTGGTATAACCCCTCACTTTGAGCGTGGGATGGACTTAATGACTTCAATCTAATGAAAAGAATATGACGAAAGTGATGGGATGTCACTTCTGAAATTAGGTTACAAAGAGAGCCCTCTCTTGCTCTCTCACTTCCTTACTCTAAGGAAAGCCAGCTGCTATGCTGGTTGCTACCCTATAAAGAGGCCTAGGTGGCAAGAAACTGAAGGAGGCCTCTGGACAACAGCTTGGGAGGAACTAAATCCTACTAATAACCATGTGAGTGAGCTGGAAGGGAATCCTCCCTCAGGAGTGCCTTCAGATAAGAACAGAGCCCTGGCTGACAGCCCGACTACAACCTCACAAGAGACCTGAAGTCTGAGGCAGCCAGCTAAGCCACACTTGGATTCCTGACCAACAGAAAATGTGAGATAATAAATGTTTGTTGTTTTAAGCAACTAATTTTGGGAGTAATTTGTTATACAGCAATAGATAATACAGAGTCTTTGGCCTTTAGCTCCTTCATATAGAACATGAATGACTGTAGAATTAAGTAAAAGTATTATTTAAGAAGTTCCCCAGAGCGATGACTGTTTTCCTGGGTTGGAGAATGATATAATGATTTTAGATATAAAGCTCTCTTACTTTCCTGGTGGTTGGAATTTAGAGTTAAAGAGATCAAATGGAATGAGTAAAAGGGCTGAATGTGGCCAAGAGGGCTCAAACAGAGTTACTGAGCCTCTTCTGTTCAGTGTTTCTGTGAGGCTGTCTCCCCGAGCTAAAGTTGTATCCTTTCAAAGTATGAAGGAGAAAGTGTAAATAAAAACTTTCAACACCACTAAAATAACATTCTTTTAAAAATAGATTAAATATAAAAGCAGCAAGAATGAATAACAAAATATCACTACTCTGTAACCTTTAATGAAATAACTGATCTTGGTAATGATCATCAATGGCTCTTAAAACCATTAGGTGAAAAACTCGGGGAGGAAACTCTGTAATGGATCTAGGCTGACAACTGAAGCCATTCTCAATCTGAAAAGGATGAAATAGAAACCAAGTACCATTAACTATCTAATTTATTGTTGTAAAAAATAAAAATAACTGATTACTCTTCTCAAGTCTCTAGAGCTAACTACCAGTTTATAGGAAATATGGGAGAAGCAGCAACATGTTTAACAGTTTTGTTTTGTTTTTTTTTTTACTTAAAAGGAAAATGCATAAAATATAAATTTACGTTAGTGGGCACACTATGTATAAAGATGTAATCTGTGACAATAACAAAATAAAGAGGGCAGTACAGAGATGTACAGAAGCAAAGTATATACTATTGAAACTAAGCTGATATTATTCAAACTAAGTTGTTTTAAAGTTAAGATGTTAATTGTAATCTCCAAGGTAACCAAGAAGAAAATACCCAAAAAAACAAAAGAGAAAAAGACAGAAGGGAATCAAAATGGTACACTACAAAAAAACTAAATACAAAAAAGGCAGTAATGGAGAAATTGAGAAACAAAAAACATGTAAGACCTACAGAAAACATAGCTAAATGGCAGAAGTAAATCTCTCCTTATCAGTAATTATTTTAAATGTAAAATAGACTAAACTCTCCAATCAAAGGCAGAGATTGGCAGGATGGATAAAAAAACATTGTCTATGCGGTCTACAAGAGATTCACTTTAGATACAAAGACATTAAGAGGTTAAAAGTAAAAGGATGAAAAAAGATATTCCATGAAAACAGTAGCCAAAAGAGAGTTAGAGTGGCTATGTTATTATAAGATAAAACAGATTTTAAGTCAAAAAGGTTAAAAAAGACAAAGAGGACATTATATATTGATAAAAATGTTTAATTCATCAAGAAGAGATAACAATTATGAAAATATATGCACCAAACAACAGAGCCCTAAAATATATGAAGCAAACATTGACAGAATTGAAGAGAGAACCAAACAACTCTACAATAGTTGGAGACTTCTATACCCAACTTTCAAAAATGGATAGAATATGCAGACAGAAGATCAATAGGGAAACAGAGGACTCGAACAACACTATAAATAACTAGACCTAATAGATATATAGACAATATGCCACTCAATAACAGCAGAATTCAAATTCTTCTCAAGTGCACATGGAACATTCTCCAGGATAAACCATATATTAGGCCACAAAACAAGTCACAATAAATTTAAAAAGACTGAAATCATAAAATGTATTTTCTTCAATGACAATGGAATGAAGCTAGAAATCAATAACAGAAGAAAAACTGGAAAATTCACAAATATGTAGAAATTAAACAACATCCTCTAAAATAACTAATTGGTCAGGAAGCAATCACAAGGGAAATTAGAAAATACCTTGAGATGAATGAAAATGAAAACACAACATACCAAAACTTATGGGACAAAGCAAAAGCAGTGTTCAGAGGGATATTTATAGCTCTAAACTCTTACATTAAAAAAAGATCTCAAATCAATAAACTAACTACACACCTTAAGGAATTAGAAAAAAGAACAGCAAACTAGACCCAAAGCTAGCAAAATGAAGAAAATAATTAAGACTAGAATGGAGATAAACAAAATACAGAAATGAAAAATAGAGAAAGTTAACTAAAGCAAAAGGTTGGTTCTTTGAAAAGATCAACAAAACTGACAAACCTTTAGCTACACTAAGATAAAAAGGGAATAAACTCCAATTACTTAAATTAGCTATAAAAGAGAGGGCATTATTTTGACTTTACAGAAATAAAAAGGATTACCAGCATATCTTGGAGATATTGCAGGTTTGGTTCCAGAGCACTGCAATAAAGTCAATATCACAGTAAAGGGAGTCACACTAATTTTTTGGTTTCTCAGGGAAATAAAAGTTATATTTATAATATACTGTAGTCTATTAAGTGTGCAATAGCATGATGTTTGAAAAAACAATGTACAACCTTAATTTAAAAATACTTTATTAGTAAAAAATTGCTATCATCTGAGACTTCAGCAAGTCATAATCTTTTTTGCTGGTGAAGGGTCTTGTAAAAAAAGCAGTATCTGCAAAGCAGAAGAAAGCAAAGCACAATAAAACAAGGTATGCCTGTGAAAGAGAATACTATGAACAACTGTATACCAATAAATTGGGTAACCTAAATAAAATGGACATATTCTGAGAAACACATAAATTAACAAATATGACTCAAGAAAAAATAAAAATGTGACTGGACCTATAACAAGTAAGAAGATGAATCAGTAATCAAAAACCTCCAAACAAAGAAAAGTTCTGGACGAGATGGCTTCACTGATGAATTCTAACACTTAAAGAATTAACACCAATCATTCTCAAACTCTTCTAAAAAACTGAAGAGGAGGGAATACTTCCTAATTCATAATATATGAGACCAGCATTACCCAGTTACCAAAAACAAAGACATTACAAGAAAAGACACTATAGACCAATATCCCTTATGAATGCAGATACAAAAATCCTCTACAAATTACTAGCAAATCAAATTCAGCAGCATACTAAAAGGATGATACACCATGGCCAAGTGGGATTTATCCCAGGAATGCGAGGGTGGGTCAACATGAAAAATCTGTATAATACATCACATTAATAGAATGAAGGAAAAGACCTACACGATGATCTCAACTGATACAGAAAAAGCTTCTGACAAAATCCAACACTCTTCCGTAATAAAAACACATGGGGCTGGCCTGGTGGTGTAGCGGTTAAGTTCACACATTCTGCTTTGGTGGCCTGGGGTTTGTGGGTTCAGATCCTGGGTGCGGACCTATACACCACTCATCAAGCCATGCTGTGGCAGGCGTCCCACATATAAAATAGAGGAAGATGGGCACAGATGTTAGCTCAGGGCCAATCTTCCTCAGCAAAAAGAGTAGGACTGGCAGCAGATGTTAGCTTAGGGCTAATCTTCCTCCAAAAAAAAAATCATAATAAAAACACTCAATAAACTATGAATAGAAGGGAACTTTCTTGTGGCCTGGGGTTCGCAGGTTCGGATCCCGGATGCGGATGTGGCACCACTTGGCAAAAGCCATGCTGTGGTAGGCATGCCACATATAAAAAGTAGAGGAAGGTGGGCATGGATGTTAGCTCAGGGCCAGTCTTCCTCAGCAAAAAGAGGAGGATTGGCAGTAGTTAGCTCAGGGCTAATCTTCCTCAAAAAAAATAAAAATAAAAAAATAAAGAAGGGAACTTTCTCAACATGATAATGGGCATTTATGAAAAACCAACAGCTAACATCATACTCAATGGTGAAGGACTGAAAACTTTCCACCTAAGATGACTAAGAAGACAAGGATGCCTGCTTTTGCCACTTCTATTCAACATAGTACTGACTGTTCTAGCCAGAGGAAAAAAAATAAAAGGCATCCAAATTGGAAAGCAAAAAGCAAAACTATCTCTACTCACAGATACTTGATCTTATACTTAGAAAACCCTAAAGAGTTCAAAAAAACTGTTAAGAGCTAATAAACAAATTTGGCAAAGTTTCAAGATACCAAATCAACACACAAAAATCAGTTGCATCTCTATACACTAGCAATGAATGATCCGGAAAAAAAATTAAGAAAAAAATTCCATTCACAATAGCATCAAAAAGAATAAAGTACTCAGGATTAAGTTTAACGAAGGAAGTGAAAAGACTTGTACACTGAAAACTACAAATCATTGCTGAAAGAAATTTAAAAAGACACAAATAGATGGAAAGGGACCCCATGTTTGTGGACCAAAAGACTTAATATTGTTCAGATGACAATACTACCCAAACTGATCTACTGATTCAATGCAATCTCTATCAAAATCCCAACATTTTTGCAAAAATGGAACAACTCATCCTAAAACACACAAGGAATTTCAAGTGACCCAGAATAGCCAAAAAATCTTGAAAAAAAGAACAAAGGTGAAGAACTCACACTTCCAGATTTCAAAACTTACTACAAAGGTACAATAATCAAAACAGTATTGTATGGGTACAAGAAGAATGGCACAAGAGATATATAGACCAATGGTACAGAATTAGAAGCCCAAAAATAAGCATCACAGCTATGGTCAACTGATTTTGCACAAGAGGGTCAAGACCATTCAATAGGGAAAGAACAGTTTCTTCAACAAATAATGCTAGGAAAACTGGATATCCACATGCAAAAGAATGAATTTGGACCCGTACCATATGCCATATACAAAAATTAATGCAGAAGGGATCAGAGATCCAAAGTAAGATCTAAAACTATAAAATTCTTAGAAAAAAACATAGGGAAAAAGCTTTTGACGTTGGATTTGGCAATGATTTCTTAGACATGATGCCAAAAGCAGGCAACAAATGAAAAAAAAATAGATAAATTGGACATCAAAATTAAAATCTTTGTGAAAAGATACCATGAAGAGAGTGAAAAGACAACTCACAGAATGGGAGAAAATATTTGCAAATCACATATTTGATAAGAGTTTCATATCCAAAACATATAAGGAACTCTTACAATTCAACAACAAAATGACAAACAAACCAACTACCAAATGCACAAAGGACCCTGAATAGACATTTTGCCAATGAAGATATAGAAACGGCCAATAAACACATGAAAAGATAATCAACCTTATTAGTCATTAGAGAAATGAAAATAAAACCGCAAGAGATACCACTTCACAACTACTAGGATGGCTATAATTTTTTAAAAACAGAAAAAACTTGAGGGTATTATGCTAAGTGAAATAAGTCAGAGGGAGAAAGTCAAATACCATATGATCTCACTCATAAGTAGAAGACAAAAACAACGACAAAGAAATACACAGCAACAGAGACTGGATTGGTGGTTACCATAGGAGAAGAGGGGTGAGGAGAGGGCAAAAGGGGTGATTAGGCTCACATGTGTGGTGATGAACTATAATTAGTTTTTGGGTGGGGAACATGATGTAATCTATACAGAATTTAAAATATATTACAATGTACATCTGAAAGCTATATAATGTTATAATCCAATGTTACTGCAATAAAAATTTTTAAAAAATTAAATAAATAAAATAAAATAAATAAACCCAGAAAAAATAAATAAATAACTGTTAGCAAAGATGTGGCACAATTAGAACCTGCTGGTAGGAATGTAAAATGGTGTTGCCAACTGTGGAAAATAGTTTGGCAGTTCCTCAAAAAGTTAAACTTAGAATTACCACACAACCCAGCAATTCCACTCCTAGATATACACTTAGAATAACTGAAAACAGGGACTCAAACAGACATGTGTATATGAATGTTCACAGCAGCATTATTCACAATAGCCAAAAAGTAGAAACAAGCTAAGTGTCTATCAACAGATGAATGGGTAAACAAAATATAAATCCATATAATGGAATATTATTCAGCCATCAGAAGGAATGAAGTTACAATTCTACAACATGGATAAACCTTGAAAACATTATCTTAAGTGAAAGAAACCAGACACAAAAGGACAGATACTGTATAATTCCACTTACAGGAAATATCTAGAACAGGCAAATTCATAGAGACAGAAAGAGATTAGAGGTTACCAGGGGCTGGGACAGAAGGAGGAATGGGAAGTTATTGCTTAATGGGTACAGAGTTTCTGTTTGGGGTGATGAAAATATTTTGGAAATGGATAGTGGTGATGGTTTCACAACATTGTGAATTTAATTAATGCCAGTGGATTAAAAACTTAAAAATGGTTAAGGGCCAGGGGCTGGCCCCATGGCCGAGTGGTTAAGCTCGTGCGCTCTGCTGCAGGCGGCCCAGTATTTCGTTGGTTCGAATCCTGGGCGCGGACATGACACTGCTCATCAAACCACGCTGAAGCAGCGTCCCACATGCCACAACTAGAAGGACCCACAACAAAGAATATACAACTATGTACCGGGGGGCTTTGGGGAGAAAAAGGAAAAAAAATAAAATCTTTAAAAAAAAAAAAAATGGTTAAGGGCCAGCCCTGGTGCCCTAGTGGTTAAGTTCAGTGCACCGTGCTTTGGTGCCCAGGCATGGACCTACACCACTTGTCTGTCAGTGGCCATGCTGTGAGGGTGGCTCACATACACAAAGAGGAAGATTGGCAACAGATGTTAGCTCAGGGTGACTCTTCCTCAGCCAAAAAAAAAAAAAGGATTAAAACTGTAAGTTTTATTGTATATACACTTTACCAGGATAAAAAAAGATAATTGACTGCTTAAGGCAAAAATAGTAACAGTGCATTGTGAGGTATATAAATATGTAAAAGTGTAACGTATGACAACAGCACAAAGAATGTGAGAAGCAAAATAGAAGCATTCTGCTTTAAGCTTCTTACACTATATTTATAGTGGAAAATATCATTTGAAGGTAGACTGCGATAAGTTAAAGATGTATTTTGCAAACCCCACTGCAACTACTAAAACAAACAAAAAATCAGAACAGCTGACAATGGAGATAAAATGAAACAATAAAAAAAACACCCCATGAATTCAAAAGAGGATAAAAAAGAAAGAACGAAAGAAACAGATGGGATAAAGAGAAAACAAGTAAGATGCAGACTTAAACGCAACTTTATTAATAGTTATATTAAATGTAAATAATCTAAACATCCTATTTAAAGACAGATATTCTCAGAGTGGATTAAAAAAAGCAAGATCAAGGAGCTTCCACTTCTGCTGAGGATGTAGAAAGTCATAACATACCATCTCTCCTGTCCTAAAAATGAGTGAAGACTTGATAATTTATAAAATCACATCTTTTCATGAACCCTTCTGAATACTGAGGCTGCAAGAAAACCAAGTGATCTGAATTCCAAAGAATGGCAAAACTCCTCTTAGAAGAGAGCAGACACTTCAAAAATATTAAGGTAATGAAAAACAAAGACTGTGAAAGTGGTGAAAGTGTCACAGATTGAAACTCTAATACACTGTTGATGGAATTTCAAATTAGGACACAGTGTAAATTGGGAAAAAAGTCGGAAAAAACACTGGGGAGTTAGGATGGAACAGCCATGATAAAGACATACCCCTGACTTCAAGATTCTGAAAATGGAAAACAAATGGTCCTTACCATCCGTGAAGTCTATAATAGGCCAGCTGAAGTGCAAGCTGAACAAACGTATCAGGGTGAAGCCTCATCTTCTTGGTTAACTTTTTGCCAAAAGATGTAAAGGCATACACGAAAATCTGCAGATCAGAGGCCTAACAAAAAAAATTAAATGGGAACAGTAAAAAGTCACCTAAGGAAGATACCCCAAAGACAACCAAGTCATCATTTGCATTAAAGTAATCATCAGACATAAATAATTAAAAGTATAAAAGCTATAATTTAAAAATGTTTTATGCTGTCATGCTTGGATGATAGCCAAATTTTTATATATAATAGTCAAAAGCAGTTACTATCTAAGAGAAAAGTGAAAAATCTACCTGCTTGAGATATTGGGCTTTAGCTTGGTTGATATCATCTAATACTTTCTCATCCACAGTGAAAATAAGCTCCTCTGGAAGTGGTATATCCCGTACATTTTCTGAACCCTGAAAATAGGGAAGACTTAAAAACATTATATCTATAAAAATATGAGGGGAAAAAGGAGGAATATTTGTTCTAACATACCTTCCATCTTCCTTCATTCTCCAAAATTTTCTCATCAATATAATGGCTGATGTTTACGATAATCATTGCATCATAAGGAGCATGCTAAAACAAAAATACACAAGATTTTGAATACTTGACATCAATACTTTATGTCAAGTTAAAACTTTACCAGTATTTTGTTTTCACTTTCCCCCATTCTTAACACATAATAAAGTACAGAATTCTCAAATGCTTCACCTCCTAATAAAAAAGATATGGATATTCCACAGTATAGTATATATCTGCTGTATTTTATTTTCTGAGAAAGAACAAATATTTAAAGTTGGAAGCACCTAATTAGGGCTCTTGAGGTAATAGGGAGGGGTATAAAGTAAACATGAACAATCTAGAGAACATAAATTTCTACTTGGACTGGAAGTCAAAGCAGCTATATATATATGTATGCAATACTAAGATGCTCTGGAATTGTAAGAGCACTGTGGAAAAGCATATGGGGATGGCAGACTATCTGAAGGCTACACTGAGGATGAGGATGAACTTCTGTAGGAAAAGACATAGGCCACTATTTGGGTATTAAAAAATATAACGATTTTGGGACTGGCCTCATGGCCGACTGGTTAAGTTTGTGCGCTCCGTTTCAGTGGCCCAGCATTTTGCTGGTTCAGATCCTGGGTGTGGACAATGGCACCACTCACTAGGCCATGCTGAGGCAGCGTCCCACATGGCACAACCAGAGGCACTCACAAATAGAATATACAACTAGGTACTAGGGGGCTTTGGGGAGAAGAAGCAAAAAACCCCCAAAGATTGGCAACACATGTTAGCTCAGGTGCCAATCTTCAAAAAGAAAAAAACAAATAATAATTTTGTGTATATATCTACAAGAATATTCAGATGTGGCGGAAATAATCTTCAATGTTTAAGGAATGTGGCAAATATGGGCTGAGTTACCAGGGTGCTACAGGTTTGACAGCTATATTTAGAAAAAGGAATTGCAGCTAGTGAATTTTCCCATCATTTATTTTAGAGGACAAACTTTTTGCCTTATTTTCTCCATGTTCCTTTGATGACAATTACATCAGATGCTTTTTTTCCTCTATGTTAATGCTACCACTTTACATTAAACACAGTTACTATTCATGACAGAATGTGACAACGCTAACCTTGGAGAGAAAAAAGGGAGGCTTAACATATGGACCCACCCGACTTGGGTCCAGTTTCAGAGGGAGTAATTAGTTGCCTTAAACATCACCCTAACATCACACAGCACTGCTACCCCATATCATGGTCCAATGGAGCCTGAGAAGCACAGTATACTGGTACCCAGTAGGTAGCAGCCACAACATCAGGAAAATGCTCACAAAGGAGGTCAATACAAGACACGTCAGCAGCTCATCCCACATGTCAGCAACAGCATGCATAACAAGACCCACAGGTCATTGACAAACTCCTTTTCTAACTGCATCTCACAACTGTGTAGCACTTCAGAGCTTTACAAAGAATTTCACAGATATCACATATATTGTTTCATGTGAGACAATAGTATTAATCTCTTTTTTACTGGAACCGGCAAGAAAGAGCAAGACTGAAGGACGTAAGTCTCTGACTTACAATTCTACCCATCCAGCTCCCAGTGGAAAGCTAATAAACAATTTAAATAAAAAGTTAGGAAATATAAAAAATTCAAATACTTTCCTGACACTTTATTTGTTCACATAAGGTTTACCTCTCTCTTTTTTTGCTGAGGAAGATTTGACCTGAGCTAACATCTGTTGCCAATCTTCCTCTTTTTGTATGTGAGCCACTGCCACAGCATGGCCACTGACAGATGAGTGGTATAGGTCCATGCCCAGGAACTGAACCCAGGCTGCCAAATTGGAGTGTGCTGAACTTAACCACTAGGCAACCAGAGCTGGCCATCTTTTTTTTTTTTTCATTCATATGGAGACATTATGTGTAACATACTGTTTAAAAATGTGGACTTCGGTTCTGAGTCCAAACCCCACCACTTGCTAGCTGTGCAACTATGAGAAAGCCACTTAATTCTTTAAGTAAACTGACTCATTTGTTAGTGGGGATAATAATACCTATTTTCATACAGTTGCTGTTAAAAACAATAGTAATAATGCTTATAAAGTGCCCTCTACAGAACCCGGTCCACACAATAATTAGTAACTGTTGTTATTATTGACAACTAGTGTTTATTATATGCTTCCTATGTGCTCTTCACAAAGCCCTCTAATGAAGCCTTCATAGAGAAGACAAAAAAGGTGACCTTAGGATTTTAAATCCTAAAAGGGAAAAGCAATTAATTAGTATAATCACAAAAGCACATATTCAAGTACCAATGGAAGAGAGCAGAAACACAGCTTTGGATTAAGAACACTTCTACTTTAGTTTATACACTTTACTAATGATGTTTTACAGAAGTTAAATTACATTTTCTGTAATCATCCTAGGTTACAAGGAAAACCTAATGGAACTTTAAAAGCAGATTATCAAGTGGAGATAATCAGATTGATGTTATAAATGTTAATATATACACATAAAACATGTCCATGCACTTACTATAGGAAAGCATCTTGGTTGTGCTGAGATGTATGCTCACTATGGGACCAATATTCTTTATTCAGAGATAGAAAAGATCATTAAAGTTATTTTTATCCTGAATTTGAGCAAACAGCACGATGTTGGTGCTATTAGTAAAAATCAAAAAGTGCTAAGTGGTTTTCTGGGGGTTGGGAGTGACGGAGAAAAGAAAGATGATGAGTTCTTGATAATGAGAGCAACTTACCCTTATGTAACAATATAACATCCAATTTGAACAATTTAGCATATAGTGAAACAGAACTCTCAAAAGAGAATAATAGGTAAAAACTAGAAAAGCATAACTGCAAGCCACCAAAAATGGTCAACCAAACTATTAACCCAAGGAAGAGAGCAGGCATAGGGGAAAAAGTATGACTAAAATTAAGGTCAGCTTTAGAATTAGTAGAGGAAAGGACTTTTAGGAGGATGGAAGCAGAGCCACATTCGTATGGAAGCAGAGCCACATTCATATGGAGCAGAGAGTAATCAACTTCAGCCCACAGGTCAAAGAGAAATGGAGGGAAGAAGCCAGGAGGAAGTTAGCCAGTTAACAAAGGATAGTTTCCAGGGAATACAAAGATATAAGCCAGACAGAGGAGGTCACGAAGAATCAAACAAGGCCGAAGAGAAGAAAACTGAGGCAATTAACCAGAAATATTTTGTCAACCACAGACTCCAAGGAAGAGGAAAGACAACAAATCTTCAAAATGACTCATGGCAATCTTTCACTCTGATGAGCTCCTATAATAGACATCTAGTTTTAGTATCCGCTCATCAACCACTCCACCTTCTTCTGTGATAATAGCAACTTTATTTTTCTTTAGGCAACCACCACTCCTCTCTGTGGTGGTTTGAATGAGGGTGTTTCTACTGTCGAGGTTCCAAGGCCAGACGAATCACAGCACCTGATTCCCTAGAATGGGCCCCTGATTCACACAGGCCGCGCACAACCAATGAACACTATTCCCAGGACTTTTGCTAGGGAAAAAAGCTGGCTATTTCCACGAGGAGCACTAATCTGTGAAGAGAACTGTGAAGACATGATATTGTGGATACAAGAATCGCATGGGGTAGTCTCCCTAAAAATAAAAGCCAAACATAGTAAAGTAATGCCAAAAAACAGAGAGAAATTTCTAATGAAAGCATTTGGACACTGGAAATCAGTCTTTCTGAAATTTAGCTGTACTCCTACGCCAACAAATATCTTCTTAAGCTAATGCTAGTTTGATTCAGGTTTCTATCACCTAAAACTAAATAAATACTGATAAATACAACTGTTGAACCCAGATCAGTGTAACAGGTCTTATCAGTATTTTACAGTCATTAAATGCTTTTGGAGGAAGGCCACCAAAAACAAATAAAAAATCTAAATCCTCATACTATTTTATACCAAATTATATACTTTATGAAAAATGTCACAACGAGATTACAAGTGTGTGTTGCAACTCTAACTGAGGCTGATTTTCTAATTTTCTTGAACCTCCTGAATGTCCCTCAGAAACTGGCAAGATAGAGCTAATAAAGATGACTATGGGAGAACAGAAGAGAAACAAGAAAAGTTTTGGGTTTTTTTTAATGAAGAAGGTAAAAAGTGGTATTAAGTACCAGACATTTTAATATCCATAGTGTAAACAAATAATGTTCCAAAGATCATATGCCATTTTAGGGGAAATAGGTATACAAAATTATTACGTAAATCTAGAAATAAATCCAGATATATTTCTCTGTGCATAGAACATATGCATAATGCTATACAATAACTTTTAAAATAGGTTGTAATTCTCAACAAACAAGTAACAGTGGATTTTAAAGAGCTTATACTGCGTAAAAATACATACAAATTTTATACACACCTAACTGTTAGCCTTACTACAGATGAAAATAACTTGCCCTATACTCTACTTTCACTGAGAATTCATAACTAAACCTTTTACTATAATGCCATAAAACTAAAGAAATGTTTACTTATACTACCACAGCACAATGTAAGTACTGTACTTTATTGCCATTAAATTAACCTAAAACATTAAAAGGAAAAAAATAACTTCAGTAGTTTACTTACATCACAATTACAGCCAAATACTCCATTAGCAAAGGAAATCAAGTTATAGGATTTGTCACCCCAGCGCACTGTTGGGTCTCCAGTAAGAAGCATTGTAGTTACCTAAAATAAATGGAATATTTCCAAATTAAAAGGATTTTAATATTGGTTTGTAAGTATTTATATCTTATACATACATTATCTCATTTTTCCTCATCAGGTAATCCAAATTTAATAAAATAATAACAATTATACTCAAGAGATAATAATATTCTGGCCCTGACTTTAGATACTTCTCAAAATCTCAAGAAATCCTAGCAGAAAAAAAAATGCTGTACAATATTCATGGATGTTTAGAGGACATACAATGGAAAAGAGAAGGCTTTTGCAACTCGAATAGTGTAAAAGGCCTAGCTAAGTTTAGTCATTAAAGTCTAGTTATGAGGAAAATATTTCAAGAATTCATTTGTTTCCCAAATGGTAGCTTTTGACCCATTAGTGAGTCATGAAATCAATTTAGTGCATCACAGTGAACATTCTTTACAAAAAGAAAGAATTAAATAGAATATAAATATCAGAGTATATGACAGATAGTAAAAGTAATTGCTGTTTTATGAAACGACATATGCATGTGTACACATACATACGTGTGTGTAGCGGGCTCCAATCTAACTGTATAACTATAGATTGCAGTAAAAAAAATTTGAACAACCCTGCATTAAAACATATTCCTCAAGAAGTTTGGTAATTCTTCTACTAAAAAAAAACACAGTTAAAGAAGAGGAAAAGTTGGTTTCTAGCTACAAGGTTTTTCAATCCTGTATTATATTATTCCTGTCATTTAATTTTGATGAATGCATTGTGAAATAATTTAAGTGCTTTCAAAAGACTATGAGATGCATTGTGAAATAATTTAAGTGCTTTCAAAAGACTATGAGACTTCTACAAATATGACTAATACCTTTTATTACTTCACAGGAAATGATAATATTACCCCAGGGTAAAAAAAAAACAAAGCAAGGCCACATTTACCCTTAAATTCACTAAAGTCAGCGTGTTCAATAAAACCAAATGATAAATTACTTACAAAAGTGAAATAATTCTTAAAACAGACTTTACCAACAAAGGTGTCAAAGTACACTGGTGTGGGTCATAGGCAGAGTCTCATATCACCTTTGGCATGAAAAGCTCATTTAGCCTAGTGCCCTGTGCAAATTTTCTATATATGCAATCAATGAAAAGATTGGGAAACGCTGACATGTGGTTAGCAAACAATACTCATATTTTCTTTAAACAATGTTCAAGAAATATCTAAACAGAACTAAACAATGGGGCAAGAATTTACAAAGCATTATTTATTTATATATAAGATTCAATTTGGTACATGTATATATCATAGCTAAGAAAAAGTTTGGAGAGCCTGCAAGTAACAAAAAAATCTTCTCTCATTCAATACACAACAGTCCTCCAGAAAAATCTGTGGGAAGAAATAACAGAACAAGATAGTTAAGTACCTGAGAATAATCTTCTGGTGTTACATGTGGACTGCCATCCTCTATGGAATACACCAGTAAACTGCTCTGAATTTTTTCTAACATAGTCAAGTTCTCTGGATCAAGACTAACCAAATATTCTCGTGCCTAAAGGTCAAGGAAACAATGATTAAATGTTACAAATTAAATACACTATATCCAGAAAACCTCAAAATAGTTTCTTAGGGAAAAGGTTCACTAAGAAAAGTGTAAATTATAGTTAATAATACTGTACTGTATATTTGAAAGTTGCTAAGAGAGTAGATCTTAAAAATTCTCATCACAAAAAAAACTTTTGTCACTATGTGTAGTGATGGATGTTAACTAGATGTATTGTGGTACCATTTCACAATACGTACAAATATTGAATCATTATATTGTACACTTGAAATATGTTACAGGTCAATTATACCTCAAGAGGGAAAAAAAAGACAAGTATAAATTACAACCTTAGCCCATCGAGTTCGCTCCTCGCTAGTTAATGCTGCTATCCCAGGTCCGTCAGGTTCACTATGGCACTTCTGATGGATGTATGTCAACTGCCTTATTGAAGATTAAAGAAAGAGGATTCAAAAAGAGCACAGGCAGGATCACTAGCTACTTTGGCCTTCAATAAGTCATAATGTTTATCATTATTTAAATGTTTTGATATATTATCCAAAGGAAGAGATTATGACCTCAACAGCAATGTATTTATTTCTTACACCACATCTTTTTTTAAAAAAGTGATTATGTAGCCTATTAACACCAAAAGTATATTTAACAATAACTAAAGTAAATAAATTTGGTGTTTGGCTGATAGAATTTATACTTTCAAAATGTAAATTCACTTTTGGGGTCTAAGTAAATACTTCTTACATTGGAGAACTTGAAAAATATTCTGGTAAATAATCTCAAACATCATGCACATCTTATCTAACTAGAAACTATGTGCATGTATATTTAACAGAGGACTTACTCTATACACAATGAGTATCTGTGTTTAAGCCCAAAAATACAAGTACCACGTAGTCAGTTTTAAATGTTTTCACATGTGCATTGTTACTTATAACCATTATATTTTAAAGACTCTATTAGATAAGGATAAATTATTTCCCACCATAGCATTCTATATGCCCAGATCCATGATGAGTTTCATGTATCTTTAAATATATGGCAGGTTATTTACAGGGTTGTTTCTAAACAAATAAATTTTCATGACTAAAAAACCCACAGAGATTTAGTTTCAGCCCTATTTCTTCATGGCACACGCTAAGAAACTACCTCAATTTAAAAGCTTCCAAGGGTTTCTTGGAAAGTGAGCTAATGTACCTTAATAAGTCATCAAAAGGCACCACTAGTAGCCAACTCTTATTTGTGGCGTTCATCCAAAACTTGAAAAAATACAATTATTGATTTGCATATTGCTCTGTTCCTTTATTATTTCTGTAATACTGATGAAGAAATCAATTCCTTGCTGCAAAATTCCTCCCTCTTTATTTGAACAAGAATGGTGTCCTGTGGCGCAGATTAGGGCTTCTTCACCAAACATTCTGCATCCACGATGGCAGCAACTTGCCTTGCCTCTTCCTGCTTACTTGTCTTCGCTAACTTTGATTTTGCTTCAATTACAAATAAAGCTTCTACAGTTTGTGGTTACGTGGTGGGTATAGTGACTACCATAAATTCTGAATGCTAAAGTAATAAAATCCACCTCACTGTTTTTCTTCATATGGTACTGGTTGCTGCCCTTCCCTTACTACCTCAAAGCACCAGTTTTGATTATTGACTTTTTCCTGCTCCCTGATACAGGCCATTTTCATGTTCAGTGAGAAATGACCACCTCATAAAAGGTGGTCATTATCAAAGAGAAATTACCAGGGAAAATGTATTAAACCTGAAATGACATTTTAAATTTCATAACTAAAGGTCAGATAATAACTGCCCAAATCTTCACCATTAAGAAGTCCACACTACCCAAAGTGGTCTACAGATTCAGCAATCTCTATCAAAATCCAATAGGATTTTTCATAGAAAAATGGGAAGAAAAATCCTAAAATTCACATTGACAAATAAAGATGGCAAGCAATAGGATATACTGGAGTATATGAGGAAGCCATTTGGTATAAACCTAATTCGGCCTGACCGTGTCTTTCCAAAACGGCCTGACCGAGGCCGTTGAGCATGCATTGTATATCTGCTTTAGAGATTCCCTATGGCAAGAACAAAGGCCCTTGAGATAAAGGTGCAACTTCTCTCCCCCTCCCAACGTTGTCGGCATCTCCTTAAAGATTAAGTATCTTTCCTTAGGCTAGACACTGATTGCTGCGCTCACCTGTGACCGCCCAGCTTGAGACAATAGACTTGCCTCCTGCTACGCCCACCGAGATAGCAGACCCACTACCTGCTGTGTCCATCAAGCGCTGTGCTGACAGGGCGATCTTGTGACTACTGTGGGAGGGACACTTCAATCATATGTGAAACACCCTCTTTGAGGGTATATAACCACCCTGTGTACCCCGACTTCTTTGGAGTCCTCTGTTCCTTTGTGGAAAGACTCTCCCGGGTTATAATCCTAAAACTTAAGCTCAGAATAAACTCACCCAAATTTTCATTTATAGATTGGTTATGGTTTATTTTTGTCAACAACATGGAACCACAAGAATAGCTAAAGCAATTGGGAGCAAGAAGAACAAAGCTGGAGGCATCACACTTCATGATTTCAAAATATATTACAAAGCTACAGTAATCAAAATAGTACAGTACTGGCATAAAAACAGATATAAAAAGACCAATGTAACAGAAGAGAAAGCCCAGAAATAAATCCATCCACATATAGTCAACTGAGGTAGCCACAGGTGCCAAGACAACACAATGGGAAAAGGACAGTCTCTTACATAAATGGTGTTGGGAAAACTGGATTGCCACATATGAAAGAATGAAACTGGAGCCCTACCTTACACCATACACAAAAATCAACTCAAAATGGATTAAAGGTTTAAATGTAAGGCCTGAAACAATAAAACTCCTAGAAAACAACATGGAGAAAAAGCTTCTTAACACTGGCCTTGGCAAGCATTTCTTGGGTATGACACAAAAAGAACAAGGAACAAAAGTAAAAATAGACAAGCTTCAAACTAAAAGCTTCTGCACAGTAAAGGAACCAGCAAAATGAAAAGGCAACCTACAGAATGTAAGAAAATATTTGCAAACCATATATCTGATAAGAGGTTAATATCCAAAATATATAAGGAACTCTTACAACTCAATAGTAAAAAAATAAATAAGCTGATTTAAAAATGTGCAAAGGAACTGAATAGACATTTCTCCAACGAACATATCCAAATAGCCAACAGGTACATGAAAAGGTGCTTAACATCACTAATCATCGAGGAAATGTAAATCAAAACCACAATGAGATATCACTTACCTCTGTTAGGATGGTTACTATAAAAATACAAGAGATAAGTGGTGGTGAGGATGTGGAGAAAAGGGAACCCTTGTGCACTGTTGGTGGGAATGCCAATTGGTACAGTCGCTATGGAAAACAGTATGGAGGATCCTCAAGAAATTAGAAATAGAACTACTGTCACCAACTAGTCACCCCGACGAACTCAAGGGTGGATTTAGATATTTTAACTGTTTTTCCAAATTGTTCTTTTTCCTTTTGTTATGTTAAGGAGATGCCATCACCAGCCACCCTGAACCACAGCAAGCCTCACCACAAGAGCTCCGCCTATGACCTTTGCCTTATTTTTAATGCTAAGATCTCTCCAGGAGGGGCTTAGGCCTTATTCCCATAACCTGCAGTGTAGCTGGAAGCGCGTTTCCCAGCTGAGCTTGTGCAAGAGAATATCCACCTCTCCCTTTTGAATATTCATTCCCCATCCAAATAAATGTCCTTGCTTCTCTTTGTTCAGGGAGCCCATGACTCTGGAAATGATTCCTCATGGTCTCCTATCTGCTGCAAATATACTTTACTTTGTGAGACAACTAATTCTGATATAGAGTCTGATTTAACTTGCCAGGAGGGAACCCACTTCGGTTTTGCTAATACCACCATATGATCTAGCAATCCCAGTTCTGGGTATACATCCAAAGGAACTGAAATCAGGATCTTGAAGAAACACTTGCACTCCCATGCTCATTGCAGCATTATTCACGATATTCAACAGGCAGAAGTAACTTAAATATCCATCTATGGATGAATGGATAAACAATCTCATATACACATAGAATGGAATATTATTCAGCCTTAAAAAGAGAAGGAAATTCTGCCATTTGCAATAGTATGGATGAACCTGGAGGACATTCCGCTAAGTGAAATAAGCCAGACGCAAAGGATAAATACTATATGATATCACTTTTATGAGGAATCTAAAATAGCCAAACTTGCAGAGCTAGAGTAGAATAGTGGTTGCCGGGGATTTGGGTAAGGAAGAAATAAGGAGGTATTAGTCAAAGGGTACAAAGTTTCAGTTATCCAAGATACGTAAGTCCTAGAGAAGTACTGTATAGCACTGTGCCTGTAGTTAACAATATTGTATTGTATACTTAAAAATTTGCTAAGAGAGTAGATCTTATGTTAAATGTTCTTATCACATAAAATTATTAATAACAAACAAAGAGTGGGAAACTTTTGGGGATGATGGATATGTTCATAGTATAGATTGTGGTGATGATTTCATGGGTGTATACTTACCTCCAAACTCAGCAAGTTGTACATAATAAATACGTACAGCTTTTCGTATGTTAATCATACCTCAATAAAGTGGCTTAAAAAATAAATTATCTGTTCAAATAAAAAAAAAGTACAGATTTGGTAACTAGGATAATCTCTCTTTTCCTTTAATTCGGCTATGTATGCACCTGTTTTTCAGCTACAAGTGCAAGTTTTGATACTTAAAAGCTCAAAGGTTTGTATTAACATTTCATTTCAGAAGCATACATCTTTAAAAATATTCTACTCTTGATATTTCCTCAAAATCTGGTTTCTGCCTTTATTATTTTCCACTTACTCTTTAATTTACTGCAATCAGGTTTTGTTCTCCAGTGATTATCCTGAAACTGCATTTCTGAAAGTTACCAATAGCATCTTATAAAACAAACCTAGTAGCTTTATCTCAGACTTATTTTCCTCATCATACAGTATTTAACAGCCAGGAGTAAATCTTAAAATTATCTCTGTCTTGGCTTTTGTAGCACTGTCCCATTGTGGTCTCCCTACCTCACTGATCTCTTGGTCTTTTTCATTTACCATTTATTCTCCTTCCACTGCCAAAGGGGTGTTTCCCCAAATTTCTGTGCTAATCGATTATGAGGTAGACTCTGGTAAACTTAAAACAAAAAGAAGTTTATTTGGGGTTTGTTAGGGCTGCAGCCCGGGAAGCACAGATTCAAGTAGCACTTGAATTGTGTTCTAGCTGTTGGAGGGAGAAGAAAAGTTTTATAGTCATGGCTAACAAATGCAAAAAAAAAAGGGAAGGAATATCTTGTTTTTTTCCCCCTGAGGAAGATTGTCCCTGAGCTAACATCTGTGCCCATCTTCCTCTATTTTATATGTA